TCAGTTGATCAGTTAATTTAGTGTTGGTTATGAGAAGATTCAACAGAGTATGTATGTCAGATGAAGCCCTATATAAGTGGAGGTTGTCATGGTTTCTCTTGCTTCACAATTAATACACAATTTATAATCAGCTGATGTCATCATAATTTGGTCTCGCAAAATAGGAAGTTCTGAAATGTTGCATTATGGGAACCTCCTTGTTTACGCCGGGTCTCATTAGTAAAATAGACCAAATTTGAAATTAAGATCTAAGTGTTACATTACTTGCAAATCTTGGGTTATTTTATTCATGCATGAACAAACTAAAATGGGAGCTTAAAATTGACTGAAATACCCAAAATATGTTGTAACAATAATTTTTTGGCAGAATTCAAATCTATAATGTGCAATTGAGACATTTTTCAGTATATCAGAAATAGATGTCTCCTAATTTGGTGGTCTTGTGTTAACCTTTTCACCACCAGTTCCCTCTTTTCATCACAAATTCACAAAATAATTCCATTTATAGTCTGTAATTTGCTTCAAAAGGTTGGGCTTAAAAACTTAAAATTGACTCAAATTTTGTTTGTTGGCTCTGAAATTAGGGTACATTTCCAGAAATATTGAAGAATATAAGAAAAAAGTGCAGAAAAATTTGGGTGAGAAAGTCTGGTGGTGAAAAACTGTCATAACAACCTGTATGTACTATGTACAATGGCACTTTCCAAGCATTTGAAATCCATGAAGATCTTGTTACTTAGGTGAATCAATCAAATTTATTTTTAACCAATATCATCACAGAATTAACCAGGAAGTTCAATTACAATACTGGTAAATGAGATGATCTTCACATTCAAAAAAAAATGCTTTGCAAATATGCACAAATACACGGTTTGAGATGAATACTACATTGCACAATATTTCAAGAAATGTTGGTTTATTGTTCAATTTCATGATTATCAATTCAAACGAGATCTTCATTAAATCTGATTCATTACATTCATTTTGGTTTGTTGAAAGAAAAGTAAACAGTAACTGTATCTTAATTTTATTATATCATTAACCCCTTTGAATGCCAAAGTTTGCATGCCTCCACTGGAAAGCATATATTCATAACTACGTTAGACCACCCTTAATAATGTAAATGCATTAATTGTTCATATGATTTTATTGTCGCTATTTTCGCTGATAAGTAAAATCTGCTAAATTAAATTTACGTTGGCATAGGAACATCCATCTGGTCAAAAATTCACACAGAAGTTTATAAAATGTTACAATATAAAAATTATGGTCTTCAAAGGGTTAATGATGTATGCGTATTCGACATTGATTGTCAAGTCAAGTCAAGTCTATACTCTTATCTTATCTGTGTGCTTCAAGTCTGGCTTGGTAAAACATTGAAAGGGTCACAGAAATGTTACAGACTGCTTGCCACATTGTTAGACAGACATTGTTGGGCAGGCATTTTCTTCTAGCATCTAAAATATCTAGTGCAGGGTACACCTAAGCATGACCTCACATGTATTCAAAACTTCTACCCCTGTAGTACCACTTGGTGTCTGCATGATCATTACATGACCAGTTAACTATATTAATCTGTTTACTTTGAGAACAATATAAACAATAAAATATCCACTTAAAACCCAGACAAATTTATATTCACAACCAAGGCCTAAAATAAAGGAGTTATGATCAACTGTTTACCTCCATGGAACTAAACAAATGAATGATTATCAATCGTCCACATCAGCATTTGTTAATTTTTCGGCTTTCTTCTTGAAAACCACAAGTCTGATTCCTTAGATAAGACCTCTCCTACTTAGTTTTGGTCATTTCATGATGATAATTTTGATGAATATTTTGTTGAAAGTCTGATTGCTTTGATATTATACATATAGTTACCTTGGGTGGACCTCTCTCAGATTTGTTAATTTCAGGATGATATCTTTAATTGAAATGTGCATTGCTAACAACAGAGCTATCTCAGCCGAGAGTCTGCTTGTTTTCCTATGTTGAAAAAATGTATATGTATCATGTAATTGTAAACATTGCACAAAACAATGTGGACATATCAAATGCAGTGCAGTAGCTATGTAGCTTTGAAACTAATTTAGTTACAATGTATCTTTACATATTCTTGACCTCCATTACATAACATCTTGTAATTATTTATAATAACAGAAAGTGCAGATTTTTCTACATAAACTACAAGGTTACCAAATCGTAATTGGTTCAACTTAAGAGTTACAACACTTTCAATTGGTGAACATGTTAGACTGTTAATCCTCAGAACAGAATTATACATGGTCCTGGTCCTGGTCATCAAGCATACATGTTAAAAATTGAAGCTTTTTTTGATAACAGTTTTTGTCATAAAATAAAAACAATTTTAATGAACTTAAAATACTGAAAAAAAAAACGAATTGACCAGAACCTTTCTTTTCCTGGGACTTAAATAACATGTTTTCACCATAGATGCTGTATTGTAGATGTAGACCATATTTCCTGTTTACATTATTTGTATTATATAAAATCTGGTCATAATTGAGTTGCCATAACAACTGCATAGCAACAGTACTTATCATTTTAGTTGTAGTCAAATTCAGTAAGTTAAAATGTAAAATATGACTGCCATATCTTGCAAGTGCAATCAAGATTAAAATAAAATTAATTTTCTTTACAATGGGTTGTGAAGTGTCTTCTTAAGTGACGGTTGCAAGGAGGGTTGAAGTGTCCTGTGTCAATACACCTTGACAACAAATATGTCTTCTAGTGATGAAATGATTCTGTGACATGAAACAATCCAAATTTCCAACTGTTGTTTAGTTGTCATTAGTGAACCACTAAAATCATCTATTTTATTGATGGACTTCTGAAAATCAAAATGTTGGCAATGGTGTGGTCAAATGAACCTGTGTATAAAGGCCACCTATCTACGGCTGATCTGCACTGGCTCGGAAGATGAATTCTGATTGGCTAAAAAAACAAAAAAACTTGTGGCGTTGAATGCACGTTCATTGTCAGTATTGTTATGCAAATTCAAACTAGCTAATCATTTACAACCTTCCGAGCCAGTGCAGATTAGCCCCCTATCTAATATGACAAGTGACCACCCTTTTAGCAATGGTGTTGTGAAATGAACCTGTGTATAAAGGTCACCTATCTAATATGACAAGTGAACACCCTTCTGGCAATGGTGTGGTCAAATGAACCTGTGTATAAAGGTCACCTATCTAATATGACAAGTGACCACCTTTCTGGCAATGGTGTGATCAAATGAACCTGTGTATAAAGGCCACCTATCTAATATGATAAGTGACAACCCTTTTGGCAATGGTGTGGTGTGGTGAAATGAACCTGTGTATAATGGCCACCTACCTAATATGACAAGTGACCACCCTTTTGTCAATG